CCCCCCCCCTCCAAAAAAAAAAAAGGAAATAGTATTGGTAATTATTTAGGCTCCTGTCATGCTGAGGAACCTAGTATTGAAACCCCAGGGTCCTTCTACCCGTGACTCTCAGTCGGAAGACCATCCTTCACTCTCTTGGATCGATCCGTGTCTGTCCAGACGGCTTAATACGCCTGACTTTAGAATCATACACGTGCAGTATAGAGGAATTCTTCTTATGATGTAACACAAAGTCTTGAACTATTATTACCAGGAGGTTCATGGGTCGACAAAGAGAGGATATGCAGAATACTTGTCCTTGGAACTGTACGGACGGCTATCCGCAAGGTTCTGGAATTTTTCTGAGCTTCTGAGAGCTGGGTGTTAATTCTAGGCCACTGCATATGGACCTGGAAGAAGAGGTGCACTCCCGGAGCGGAGGGCATAGCGGTCCCTGTTGGACACCCAGGACATCCAGGTCTTGTGGGCAAAGGAGAGAACCTGGCATAGTGGTTAGGCTTCAGTGGCGATTCCTGCTTAAAGCTGCCACTACTTGTCTAGTATCCTAGGTGCTCCTAGACCCTTAAATCCTAACCTTTTTGGGATTTTATAAGGATAATCATTCCGCAACAAGGTCAAAGGTTACCTACTCTGCTACGAAGAGAGTCCGAGGAACCGAAACGTAGGCGATCTTGAAAGGCTGCGGAACGAGCCAGAAATTGACGACTTGTGCAGGCGTCCAAAACCTAAGTTGACGGCTTTGCGGGAGCTTCTTGGAAGGGTAGTTGTCGAGTTCTATGAAGGTGTCACAGAGCTGTTGGAAGGTTTAGTGCTCTTGCGTCAGTTTGAATTGGGGCTTCCAAGTCTAGTTCCACCAAAGCCAACCAGCTGTGGTGGCACAAATGAGTGTGCTGCCATCTTTGTATGTATACACACACAGGCACACATGCACGGAAAGGTAGATGCGCAGAACATCCCGTACGAGTGGCCGTGCGTGCATTGCTGTGTTACAAGAGATATCTAATGTCGTTGAACTCGATATGGGTAGTTCTCTGAACTAGGGTCCCTTTTAGGGTCATTTTTATAAGGGTGCCGTACTATTTTGGGGACCTAGCAAGGGACCCTAGTTTAGAGAACTACCCATATTCCGAAGTGCGACCAGTTTTGGGGGAATGGAGTTGGTGCGCATCATATTTCCCTACCCCGCCCAGAAGAGTCGAGACACCGTAACCGGACTCATCAGAAGCTTCATAAATCTTTTCGCACTGGTTTAATGGGCCGCAAGCGACTCTGGTTATCGTTATTATTACCATTAAGGTAGAATTAGAAGCCACAAAGTTGGAGCATGACTATCCTCGTGCCCTTAAGGTAAAGTATAAGGGATCCTAGCACTAATCATTTTAAATCCATGCTCCAACTTTCTGGGGCTTGCTGTGCTTGTGGCGTCTAGACTGGCTGGGTTCCAAACAGCTTCCAAAAGAAATCCGACAAGTCTTGTTCCGCCTGCTTCTATAACCCATGCTCAACACCATTCATTCGCATAAGGATTTAGGGTTTAGGGTTCCTAAACCCTAAACCCGTCAAACCCTAAACCCGAAGCTGCTTCCCGCACAACCAATCTACTTTACTGCCCCCCCCCTGCCACAAATACCACAGCTTGCAACGGCCGCGCATGGATCAAGTCGGAACCACACGAATATCTAAGAATCAGAACAGGTTTTGAAAGCTTCTTTTTTATACTTATGGAAAAGCCTACCGTCCAAACCCTATTCTGATCATTAAGGGCGCCCTAGACCCGAAGCCCTAAACCCCCGATACTAACCGTGTTCTTCTCTAAACCCTAAACACTCAACCCTAAACACTCAACCCTAAACTCTAAACTCTAAACCCTAAACACTCAACCCTAAACCCTAAACACTCAAGCCTAAACTCTAAACCCAAAACACTCAACCCTAAACCCTAAACTCTAAAGGCACGAGAGGCAAGGAGGAGCCAAGGGATGCTTCCACCCATTCACGCTGGAGCTGGGCGTGGATCCGCGTGAGGCTGTCGCCCTTCGGATCTTCATGGGTTTTAGGTGGCTTTAGGTGGTTTTAGGGTTTGGGGATTTAGGGGTTTAGGGTTCGTGGTTTCGGGTATAAAGGTACCGGGCCTTGGGGGCCCTATTTGATATGCAAGTGCGCGTATACGTAATTATGCATGCATCTCAGCAATCATACTTCTACTGTTAGTATATGTAGATTTTCTTATGCATGTTGATTTGGTGGATTTGGTGGGGAGGGGTCCGGTGTTGGGGGCGTGCCGGTTTAGCTTCGTGGGGCTTAGGGCTTGAGTGCCTCGGAGAAGGGTGAACCGGCCTTATGTAACAGGTAAAGGGGCTGCATTTCAGAGCACACGTAAACCCTAAAAATCCTGAAACTGTGAGTCTTGAAAACATACTAACCCTAAACCCTAAACCCGAAGCCCTAAACACTAAACCATGAAGCCTAAAGCTAAAACCCCAACCCCAAGCGGCGGAGCGCAGTGCCTTGAACGTACCAGTCACGAGGTAAAAGCCGGGGACGACGCCGAACGGCGTATGGATGTAAACGTCAAACAAAGTCTTGACTACCACGTTTCGAAACGTCGACTTCTGGCCGACGTATCGATCCTGGACTTCTTGCAAGGTCAGGGCATACGGTCTGAGCCTTATGCCCCGAACCCCAGCAGCGCTAAAGCGGTTTAGGGTTTAGGGGTTTAGGGTTTGGGGTTTAGGGTCCTTGTCAGTAAGGTTGTTGAAGCCGTTACGGACCGTTCTCGAAAGCTACCATAGCCGGGATCCCTAGTGAGTGCTAGCCTTTCCTGACTAACCTTTAGACCCCTGCTTGGAGGTTCATGGGTAGTTTTTTAGTATGGCTATAAGTCCTCTAATATGGGTTATAACTATGGTTACCTTTCTTGTAACCCCACTTACAACTACCCATGAACCTCCAAGTGGTGGCACTCCTGTAAACTACCATTGCACCCAACACCTGCCAAGCTCTCGCAGTTAAGTTCCTTAGCACGGGACATTTACTGAGACTCTCAACTAACTACTATACTGAACCTGGGACCCTAGCAAAAATTGTTACTTTAGCTGTTTCTTTTGGAGTATAGTATAACCATTTCTAAGTCCCAT